GCGTCGACTGAGGAGGGTTTCAATTAGGGTGGGGAGGATGCGCCCTACGCATTTCCCTAGGTACATAACTATAGGGTATAATTCCCATATAGAATTTGACTGTTATTTTGTCATATAATAATATGTAATAACTATACATTTTACTTTTACTCACTTGTTGAAAGCTTGTGTAATGAATAAATCAAGTTAATCTTATAAAGTGCTCCCAGTGTCTTTATTTTACTCATGTATCTCTGTTTTGGGGTGTGGTATAATGTTAACAAGATTTCAAATGCTATAAGGCAAAATGTTTGACATTTTAGATTGTAATTTTATCTTATACAGTCCCATTCATTATTTGTGGCAGCATAATGACACTTTCTATTATACTGTATACAATACTTTATGTACTGTACAGAAAAAATATCACCTGTCTATCCATTGTTTATTATTAATTCAAAACAGACAATACAGTTGAACTTGCTTAAGTCGAATTCAAAATGGCATTGAAAAACTGTTAGACTAAAATTTGACTTACAGAAAAACACCAATTTGCTATGTAAAATATTAGATTAATGCCTGATTCTGTCGCCATAATCAAGTACTCCTACTATGTGAACATAATATTTCAAGAATCGTTGATACAACACCAAATTGTATTATTTCTAAGGTTTTAACGTATAGCTTGTCTGGTTTTGCTAATTATGCTAAAAAAAAAATTATTGGTGAATACGATCAGTTCTGCCATATTGTTAACTGTTACATATGTAATCGTAACTGAAATGCTTCAAGATCTTTCCATTTTAAAGGTTCTTGCCTCGTTATTTATTTGAATTGCTTTTATTTTGTTATGAAAGGTTTTATAAAACTAAGAAAGTATATTTTATTGCACACATTACCTTTATCCCATTAAGAACCCTATTGATATACTGTATTGTTGAATAATTTCATTTGCCCCTTTTTTTTCTTTTTCTTTTTTGATTATATAAACATGCGTTCAAAGCTCTAGGTGTTTATCAGTTTATATTTTTGAGTACAGTTATGTATGTGTATGTGTACTGTCTTTGTGAATTTGTGTGTAAAAGTTTGTGTTTGTTTATATGTATGTGTGTGAATATACATATACTGTACATATACAGTAATAAATTTATCAATATCGTATTTTGGGGTGGCTCTCATGATAGCGGCCTATTTTTGGTCTTAATGAGAGTCTCCTAACTTATTATTAATATTGCATACAATGAGATTTTTGTTATTTTTAAGTTGTTTTGGTTAATGGTGACATCGTGTCATGACCATGAAATATAATACAGTGGATAGAGCTCTTACAGAAAATGACAAAATGACAAAAGAAAAACACAATTCTCATACTGGTACTCGTTTATTATTGTACATTGTCTCCACCCTTCATGTCATGATGTGGGCAAAAACAAAATAAATATATTTCCGAAATGCATAGTGTTTTGCGAAACTCCTTTACAAAATGTCTGTTTTAACTTACAGCTAATGTAACTGAAGGTTGGTTGTAAACCTTCAAAGACAGCAATACTGTTGGGGGGGGGGGGGAGGGAGAGTACTGGGGGTGTCTGCAAATATGTCAACCATCACAAAAGATAAAATATTGGGCTGTGATGAGTCTTTTATAAAAAAAAAAATGCAGTCAAACAAATTGCAATTCAATGGCCTCAGATTTCTCTCTGCCGATTCAGAAATGTATTATTGAAAAAAATGAATTTCTACTTACAGCATGGAGGAGAAATGTACAAGGTGATGATACAGAACAATTAACCTATCTAGTTTTTAATATATAAATATCTGTTTTATTGATACCAGTGATAATAAAAAAGCATGGCAGTATATATTACGGGGAATTATGTGAACCTTGAGTGTTTATTCCATTATTCCCACAGTTTTTATACCAAAAATCAAGAATAGGAAACGAGTGATACATATTACTAGGTGGTTTCTGAAGGTGGCTCTAACTTCTTTGGCAACTCATCTGTGCACAGCGCTGACGTCTTCCAGCAGCAACTAAGAATGAAAGAAGGCCACTGCATAAAGCAATTCCTGGAGACATTCGATTAATTTGGCAACAACTTTATCAAATATTATTAAGTCAATTACTTGTGGATATACGCATGAAGATAATACATCCATAATGTTAGTATCCATCTATGCATCCCATTATTGCAATCTCATATGCCTATATCTTTACCACAGAAACAGTTAAGTTTTTTCCAATTGATTCAATTGGAATTTAATTGTATAACATACAGAGTAATGTCAATAAAGCATTTTGAATCACCTGGATCAACATAAAAAATTGAAATGGGACTTCTATAATGTCTATCATGAACTATTCATCATTGTGATTAGCTCACACTCTATACAAATATAGCCTCATGTGCACAGCTGGACTACACCTAAATATAACAATAACAATAATAATAATAACAATAATAATTATAATAATAATAATAATAATTATTATTATTATTATAACAATATGATATTTATATACACCTGTAACATACTTTTACCACACATCTAATTCTAGACCTGCATCTTGTAGTTAAAAATAGTTTTTGTGCCTTAAATTATCTCAAAACTTGTTACAGTATCAATTCCAATAGTTATTTAAAAAACCCCACCGAATACCAGTCTCTCTCTCTACACCCATATTTGGAT